GCAGCCTCTGTTTAGTGGAGACGCGGAGATTTGTCAGCGGAACCCTGATTTAGATGTCAGCGAAATGGTCGCAGCGGAGCATCAAAGCGAGCGGTTGAGGGATGGGCTGGCGCGGTGCAGACGCAGGCTCCAGGTCCCGGGTTGGTGCCCTGCGCGGTCCCGGCCCGGGGAGGGAGGCGCCTTCCGACCGCGCTGGCCGCGTTTCCAGCCTCGCCGGGCTGCGCCCTGACTCCAGGGCTGCTGCAGGGAAAGTTTCCAGAGTCTGCACAGTCGGTGCCCGCCGGTTCCCTGCCTTCCCAGGGCGCTGCGTCCCCACGCGAAGGGGCCAGGAAGTGGGGGGCGCCCGGAGAGGGGGGGGAGACTTTTGCAGCTTTCTGCACAGAGCCTTTCAAAGTGCGGTGGTGTGCGTTCTCTATCCGTTTCGCTCTTTTTGTTTGTTTGTTTTTTGAGACAGGGTCTCACTATGTAGCTGAGACTGACCTGAAACTCACTATGTAGCCCAGGCTGGTCTCGAACTCACAGCGATCCTCCTGCCTCAGCCTCCGGAGTGCTGGGATTACAGGCGTGCGCCACCACGCCCGGCACTGTCTTTCATTTACGTTGTGGGAAATGTACACGTTCCTCAGCTAGCTCTGATGGAAGGATGCTCCCTCCAAAGGAGTTTCCCAGGACTGAGACTGAAGGGGCTCGGCTACCATCACTTTAGCCGAAGCCAGCCTTCTGGGCAGCCATGAAGGCCAGTGGTAGCAGCTCTTGGGAAGATAAGTACCCACTCCACTAGCTCCAACGTGGGCTCCTCAACCCTAAGACTTCTGTTACCGAGTAAATGACTGTAACTTCAACTTGGGCACTTGGCAGCATTAATTCAAACCGGCAATAGAAAATGAAAATGCACCTATAAAGCTCTAAATGCTTTTCTTTCTTTTTCATTTTTTCTTTTTGGAGACAGGGTCTCGCTGTGTAGCTGGGGCTGGTCTTAAAGTCACTATGTAGCTCAGGCAATCATCCTGCCTCGGCCTCCTGAGTGCTGGAATTACTGGTCCCCCGGAGGCCGAGGCAGGATAATCAAACCGGCAATAGAAAATGAAAATGCACCTATAAAGCTCTAAATGCTTTTCTTTCTTTTTCATTTTTTCTTTTTGGAGACAGGGTCTCGCTGTGTAGCTGGGGCTGGTCTTAAAGTCACTATGTAGCTCAGGCAATCATCCTGCCTCGGCCTCCTGAGTGCTGGAATTACTGGTCCCCCGGAGGCCGAGGCAGGATAATATAACCACTGAGCTAGATCCCCAGCCCCTGAGTCCTGGAATTACAGGCATGCGCCACCACACTGTGCTCTGAACACATTTTTGGTGTGATTTATGCAGCATTGTCCACCAGGTTGCGCACCCCAGGAGAAGGCTCCTGTTTTACCCTCCGCGGTCTTTACCAGACAGCCCCATCATCTTGCCTCGGTTGGGGAGGCAGGTCCAGGGGTCCCCGTGTAGACCAGCCATTTTGGAGGGCCTCCCTTTACGTGAGAATATTCTGTAGGAGATCTCTTTACTATAATAATCTCTACTGCCTACCGAGTGCCAAACCGCAGTGCTGTGACCCCCGTGAGCACTGCAGTCAGTCCTGACAGGTTCTGTTTTGTTGCTGTGCTGAGGTTCGAACCCGGAGGCCGAACAGGAGCTCCCCTGCGGAGCTACACCCCTGGCCAGGAGGGGGCGTCCTAACCCCTTCCTCCCCACCGGAAGTGAGCGCGCGGGCGGGGAGGGGAGGGAGCTGGAGAAGGGACCTGGCCGCCTTCCTGTGTGGCTTCCGAGGCTCGGGGGCGCCAGTGCGGAACTCCTGGTGTGGATTTGGGCTGAGAAGCCAGCAGGCTCCAGCTAGGCGGAGCTGGGCCGAGGCCTGGAGCGCGGCGCGCGGGCTGCGGCCTGGTTGGTCCGAGGGCCGCATTCT